TTTCTCATGAAATTCGCGTCACGGAAATCCTCTGCGTTCCCGGGCGCCCTGTTGCCCCACAGCTTTAGGGCCATTCTTGTGTACACGCAGAAAATAATTGATAACGGTGTTAAGTATTGCAGAAACGCCAGGAGCATCGAGTAAATTAGCATCGTTCTACTGGACAGATTCACAGCTTGGCAGAACGGCTTCAGTTTGTCTATATCTGTTGGGGACCAAATAAGTCCTTCTAACAAAAAGACTCCACATTCATTACATTGCATGAATAATCTCCGGGTAAATGGAGGTATATTTAGAGATTACTGTACCTTCCGCAGGATGAAAGGATTGATTAGGAACAAGAGCGATTAGTCGAGCAATTCCCATTAGGGCTTACCTGGGACCATAATGACCCTACGTGCCACTGCCATTGGCGTCGCCAGGACCATCGCCACGAGCCAGATTCCAGCGATCACTATTTTAGCCGTCAGTTTGCTAGGTCTCACACTGTCGAAAAATAATTAACACTTTCATACTTGATGGCACCGTCCAAGAAACGCAAAACGAAAATTACATGCCTGAGGGGTTTCAATATTGCTCGATGTCGGTCGATTGCAATCGCTGTTAAGGTAAACACCGAGACGTTCACAGAGAGGATTTGCACAAACGGGCAGAAGGCGCACATAAAGTGTGGCAGGTTCCATCTTTGCAACAAGGCTGCTTGAAACTTGAACGCAAAAAGGAAATTACGTTTTGAGATAATTCTTGTTTTATGCATTGTTTTTGTACAGAAATTAAATTTGCAAAAGATATAAACATTGGAATGCACTTTTTTTTTTTTTAAATGATTGCCATAAAAAACTGCAGTCTATTTAGTATTGTCTAAGACTTAATCACTATGTCGTATGTACCTGAAAGGGAATGGCAAATAGGCCAATAACGATGTCTGCTAACGCTAGATTCGCTATGTAATAATTGGTTACATTATGCATGCGTTTCGAGGTTACTATTATCCATATGACAAGAGAATTTCCCAGTACTGCTAAAACAGAGATTGTTCCATAGAGAATGCTGAGCAGCACTAGGATCAGGGTAGGTACATCGTACACCGAATCTGTAAAATCAACAGAGCTACATTAACAATATTTATTAGCCATTGAAATTATATGAAAATTGATCTCATTCTTTCATTTCAGACATAATCTAAAATGGTTTCCACAGGAATATATTTTGTTTCATTAATTACAAAGACTAGGCAACTCAAACT